ACATTTTCTGTTGATAAACTAACTAATTATATTCATCTTTGTTTCAGATTTAACATGTATTATTAGGCAGCATAAGGGGGACACTTTACTTGGACACACTGAAGAGCAGACCTAATTCATAGCCGGTTTCAGTGTAGTTCGGTTATACTTGCTGCTAATGTTAATTTTTTTGCATTTTTAGTTATTGTTATTCTTAATACATTTACTTGCATTTCAATTTGTATTATATTAGTATTTTTTTAAATATGTTTGTTTATTACTTGACACTGCCTAATATATACATCTATCCACCTATCTATTTAAAGGGTTTTTTTTTTTGACAATGTTTTTTACTTCCATAACATTTAAATGGGATAGATGCTGGATACAAAATGTAACCAAAAAACAATAGAAAAAGACATTCCCCATTAAAATCAGGTTTACATTTTTTACAAACTGTGACATGAGGATGATTAATGTTAAGTAGCTCTAGATATTAAAGCTCAGAATAACTTTACAGAGAAACCCTGAGATGTTTCAGTTACCAGTTCAATATGCGTCATCATTACAAATGTAAAAAATGTTTTGCTATTAATACTGGTAGAATATTTGGTTGTGTTAGTACAAGTATTTGTAGTAAGAGGTATCTGGCATGGTTTAAGACAAAGCCACGTCAGCTGTGATTTACTTTGTGGCGTGTTGTTTTATTGGCTTGCAGCCCCAGAAAGAGTTAGGAAACACACACATGCAAAGATACACGCACACACACAGTAAAAAGCCCCAGCTCTACAGGAACCGCTCCAGTCCAGACAGGGGCTGAATTGTTTTGTTTCCATAGTGACCTGGCAGCACACAGCTGACTGCAGCAGGAATACACACAGACAGACATACACTGGCTCACACACACGCCAAAGACAGGCCGCACACACACATTACAATGACCGGACTGATGGGACGCACAAAGGGAGGAAAGATATGGGGGAGGGAGAGCAGGAAGGGAGTGAAGGTGAGACAGAGGAGAGGAAGAGAGGGTAGGAGAAAAAGTAGGCTGTTTAGAAAAGAAAAATAATGATAATCGAATGCACAACAGAGCGGGAACATGTGTGGGTGGGATTAACTAAATCAAACATATTCACACATTTCACTACATAACCTTTATCCCTGCGTCGTCTTTCCTTACTCATGTTGTTCATTGTTTCAGACTACACAGGCTTTAGCCCAATCCCTATTAAACTTCATGAACCCTCCGCACTGACCGAATAATCTCATCAGTTACACGGGCAGAAACACGACACCTAAAGATAGAGTGGAACTTTAGACTTCTTTCTTTCTTTTTCAGGAGCAGCGTAGGTGGAGAAAAACATAAAACTTTTAGAGGACAAGCTAGCCAGCTCCCTCCCCCTCTCTATCTCTCTTTCTTTCTTTCTTTCTTTCTCTCTCTCTCTCTCTCTCTCAGTCTTCACATGAAAGTGATAGATCTGGGGCTTTATGACCTCTTTATGGACACAAAGACTGCATTGAGATCAGGAGAGAAAGAGAGAGAGAGACCCAGCCCTCCACTCATCACAACACCCTTTCTTCAGCACTGCACTTCCTCTCCTAATCCCCCCCACCCCTCTTTATTTTTACTTTCTCCCTCTCTAACTTGGGACCCCCCCTGGTCTTACACTAGTGTTGCCCAACCAATCACAGCACTGGACGCTGCTAACCACTAGGCCACCTGTGGCAATGATTTGCCAGTTGGCCGTGGACCAATGACAACGCGGTAAAAAGACACGACGGCTATTTCTCCCACCCTGCATGGCTGATTTGGGTTATGTGGACCCTTCAACAAGCCGTCTTCACATGTGCATGCACCCACACACACACAGACACACAGCAGTGGTGGGAGGTAATTCCACTCATACGACAGTCAATGAGCAACTGCTGCCTGATTGTTACCATATGGTTTTACCAGCTTGTGTGTGTGTGTGTGTGTGTGTGTGTGTGTGTGTGTGTGTGTGTGTGTGTGTGTGTGTGTGTGTGTGTGTGTGTGTGTGTCTCTTCAGTATTCCTCAAGGAACAACATTTCAACACAGCTCCACTGACTGAATGGTAGAGACGGGATTCCCCCATATTTCTGCTAAGGCTGCAATTTGTGTTTCAAAACAATGTCGTTACATAGTAACAGAATTGAATCAGATAAGTAAATCAGAACCAGCTTATCTGCATCGGTGTCAATCTTCCTTATACTGTTCAATCACATTCTTGTTTATAAAATTGATATAATGACACATGATTTTAACTATTCAGTTACAATGTATGCTACTTACAATGGGTGAGCAGGCGGTGCATTTGTCAAAGGCCATGCTTGCAGGCAGGACATTGTCAAACCTTGAAAGAAAGCCCCGGATCTGTGGAAGAGAAATCAACAGGTCAAAAACTGACACAAAACTGAGGAGCAAAATAGTGGAGCCGATCTCTTTCCAAAACAACATTGATACACACTTTCATTTATATTATGTAAACATAAAAACGTTCCTGTAGCCATAAAGAGATGGAAATCAAAGATAAATCAGGAGAAAGATAACATGGTATTTGAGTGAATTTAATGTGCTTTTCAGACAGAAACTGTCCTTCTTTTTGAGAATAAAGTACTGTTTATTTATTCCGTATTTATACGCAACTATATAAAAATCAAAATTGAAGTGCTTAAAAAGTTTGGAGGCAGTTTGAGTTTTCCTATTTTTTGTATTTCAAAATAATGCTGAGAGCGCCCTCTGGTGCACATTTTCAGTTAAACATGTTCAGCACATCTCACTGCTGAAAGCTTTCTCTCCAATTTATGGCTACCGTAATTATGGTTATTTACTGTGATTACTGCCTAAAGAACCCCTCTACACATATACATACACTAACAACTGTTTAGCAACCCATTGAAATCCCACTAAACACCAAAAATCTATTAATGCGCCTCATTCCTTTTCCCCTATTCATACGTGTTCTTTAAATAAATCTTTCAAATTCTGTTTTCTCGTGACGCACTCAGCCCGAAGCATGAAATAGCTCACCCTCTGGTGGTGAAGCAGACACACATTGTTTACATTTCTGAGAAAAGTTAACAGGAAATGAAAAGCTTTGACTTTTTGGAAAGGAGATCTGGGTGCTCTGAATCTTTACGCACCCCCATTTCAATAACTCATCATGGGGCTACATTTACACTCCCCCCAGGTTGGATGGTAATCTCAGGGTATCAGGTTGAGATGCTCATCTCTAACTCTGGGACTGATAATCAAATACAATGTGTACACAGTGTTCATCTTACAAGATATTTCAAATTGATTTAGGAGCTCCAGTTAGTGAGGCTTATTTCATTTTGCCACATTTTTATTCAATTGTTTTAGTCTTTTTACATCTTCCCATTTCTGTACTGATTATTTCCACTTATAAAAAGGCCAAATTTAGAGATATATAGGAGGAATAAAAAGGCTTGCAGTAGCAGGCATTACAAATATAACATTAATGTGAGAGGACAACTGCCTGCGCGCGCACATGTCCAGTGGATGAATTAACAAATGGAGGGCTGAATGGATGGATGAGTCAGACCAAGGGGGCGAGAGTGGGCAAGTGAGATGGATCAGAACAAACTAATCGCTCTACATAAAACGGTCTTTATACACTGCATTGAGTTCAGGAGTTCAGGTACAGTATGAATGTATTGCAAGATGCACTGTTGGACTTGTGACATTCATGCTTTCAATAGACTTTAAAAGCTTCTGAATGTGTGTGTGATGGGCGGCACCTGGAAGTTGCTAGACATCTTCCAGAAATAACATTATTTATACATGTTACTACAATCTTTTTATTGTTATTATTATTATTGATTGTGTTTCTGTTACTTTCGTCTATTAGGTACATAGCAGATTTGGCATGTCTGTCTGTCTTGTTGCCATTTCTTTGCCCACTAAATCGTTTTTTTGTATCTAAATTGACGCTCTATATTAGATTAATTGACTTGATTTCAGTTATGGTCGAGTATTATCAGCCACTGATTTTTGTTAAAGGTGGGGTAGGTAAGTTTCAGAAACCGGCTCGAGTGCACTAAAATTTGAAAGTACACAGCCAAAAAGAATCCGCCCCTTCCTTCAGACTTCCTTACAGAGCACCTCCTCCGCGAGAGCAGGCTGCAGTAACGTTACATATCAGGCAAAGCTAAACACATCTAGGCTAGCAATACTACACAGCCAAAGCAACTCCGATATTGACTCTGGTTTGACTTCTCCTAGTTTCCACTTTCTTTTTGTTCTTAATTTGCTCCGTTACATTTTTTCTTTTGCGACCAGTAGACGATGTTGAACCTAACTCTGCCATGGTGAAAGTGGCCGCCTGTTGCTGGCGAGTCATTGAAGTACTGCTGCAATGCACGCCCAATGACGGCACGCCCAATGAGGGCACGAGATACATTTGTGCGTGCACGAGATGGAAGCATGACAGACAGGGCGGCAATCCAATCCGTTTAGCCTGCCTGTAGTTTTTACAGTATTACGGGTTCCACAGATGAAATTTTTTTATGGATTTTTTGTCAAAGCACTTAAGATATTCATTGCTATCGGGATGTTAAGAGCATTCCATGGAATATAACAAAAAGTGTATCTCGAGCCGGTTTCTGAAACTTACCTACCCCACCTTTAAGTGTTCTCAGGTTAATACATAATGGATTGGTAAGGGTAACAGTAAGGAAACATAGTGTTAATTGGGAAATATATTTAAAAATAACTTGAAAACATTTAGCAAGATATTAAGTGATCCATTATCAAGATATTCTAAGGATAAATCTCTTTCCAAAAATAAACAGAGCCATTTCCATTAGCAGCCATACATTGTCATACAGAGCTGTCTTAGGGCTGATTAGTATGCTTTCAGTGCACAAACAAACCAATATTCCAAAACCATGAAATCTAATCTTAAAATCCTATTAAAACAAAATTGAACGTGGCAAACAAAGCATTCGGGTGTGGGTTTATATATTAGTGTGTGTGCCTCTACTCACCGGGATACTTCCCTCCCTTATTCCTCTGGATGAAGCAGATAATGAGGAGGATCAGGATGAGCAGAGCGATGGCACACATGAGGCCGATGAACCATCCCTGAGTGGCGATGTCCACCTGTCTGCTCGCCACAGCTGGAGGAGGACAATACTCAACATTTAGGACTGGATGATTTATGATTGGTGAAATAGAACACATGTATCCATAATAATATGCTAAAACAAACATGTAACGAGACATTCTCTAAGCATTACTTGTTAGAGATTTCACTTCATAAGTGGATCATGTTAGAAGAGTTAGAAATCTCCTGGATTAAGCTAATGGTGACTTGGACCCAATATTGAAGCCTCATTAGTACAAAATGTCTCTTTCTCTCACACAAGTGCACACACAAACAGACACAGATACACACACACTGTACACGCAGGATTACTGTGGGTGATATTAGGTTGGATATTAAACCACTAAACATATATATATATATAGAAACAAATACAACTTCTAAATGAGAATTACCATGGACTGACTTTCAATACGCTAAAGATTCAACCACACAATCATGCAAGCTGCTACACACTGTCTCTAGATCTCTGCAGTTCATGCCTGGCATACAGAGTGACCACAACACATCTGTTAAACCCATGCTAGACTGGATTATAATTACACAACGGCACAAACAACTACACATATACTACACAATGCACGGTACAGGGCCATGCCAGGCCAGTGGGGGAGGCGACCACCGAGGAACTGCCTCACCTGGGACCGAGACCACAAGCTCCTCAGAGTGGTGGAGCGGCTGGTCGTGGTGACCTTGGGCAACCAAACGCACCCTATAGGAGAGGCCCCCCTTTAAGCCCTTCAGCGTTACATTCTGAGAGCCGTTCACAAGCTCTTTCTGCCACTCCTCTTCACCTTCACCTGCAGGAGGGACGTTCACGGAGAGAGGCACGTTTGAGGGAGCACACACAACTTCAGATGTGTCGTGACATCATGGGATGTGAATAACTACTGAAATGGGATTACACTGCAGCTAATTTGGTCTATATTAGATCTTAATTGTAAATGATGGAGTCTATCAATGAATTATTGCCCTGAAAGTTACGCACACTGCAACTTAAGAAGACACATTTCACCACCTTCATCAACAACTTGTGAAGCCAAAAAAGACAACATAAGAACTTAAAGAATGTTGCAAATTGCACAACAAAACTGAGTTAGAAAACATATGTTTCTGGGGGACAATAAAAAGTGATGAACAAACCTGCAATATTTATTGTCCCCTGAAGTGATGCTTTGCAACTCATTTGTTTTGCATTCTGTGCGACTTGAAATGTTTTAGTATGCCATTGTGTTTCCTGTATTAGGTTTTGCTGTCTGCATTTATTAGCATTTGATCACTTTCCATTTTTAGCCACGGTTGCTAAGCACGTCTTGTGAAGTTGCTGAATATCTTTTCATTATTTCTCCTCTGTTTGTGTGTGTTTCCTTACGCTGCAGTGCGTTGATCTTTCAGGGCCACCATGAATGATACATGTGGTGATGAGCTTAATATGAAATGTGTTTGACTTATGATCACAAGATAATATTTTTTGATAACAACATTGTCTAAATGACTGTGAATCTATGATTATAGTGTTCGCTAATTGAATCTATTAAACAGTAGGTGTGAGAGAGCCATACTCATACAACAAGGCTTTTCATCCTCACTGCAGGTGGATAAAAACAACGGAGACTGCTTCAGTCAAAAATTAATTGGCATAACAACAATGTTTGTGCTGCTTTTTGGGATGTTTGTCTACATAAGTTCCAAGGAGATTGTCGCGGGAGCTGCAAGCAACTCTAGGCAATACGAGGCCTGGGTAATTAGAAAATCAATCACAGAAAGCCTCGTTTATTACATCTGGGTCCACGTTGGCAGGAGCCAGCTTCAACGTGACTGCCAATATTTATATTCACCTGCATGAGCCAACAATGAAGTAGGAGTCTCTTGACACCTCTGTGTGAAACTGACAGAAATAAAAAAGGTGAGATGCTTTGCTTACTGTTTTTCACTATGTACTCTACATAAACGTTTCTCTCCGGGCCCCAGTACTCCCAACTGATCAGGGTGCCGTCCTCTACGAACGAGGAGCTAATGTTCTTAAAAGGACTCGCAGGCTGAGCTGAGCACACAAGAGAAGAGACAACCATCAATATCCATCCGTGGGTCAAAGGTCAATCCAATAAGTGGTAATTAAATGATGAATAATAGTCCACATAAATGCTATTAGCATCACCCAATCTAGACCCTCATAGCCTTACACAATAGATATGTCAACTAAGGACACTATACCAACAAACTAAAGAACACACAAAGCTGATCATGTAACAACTCAGGCATGAAGTCTACTGAAATGGCAGCAGTGTCTGTACCCTTGTGGGGCGGACGGCGTGGAGGAGACGGTGCAATGGGATGAGAGGTTTGCGTGTTTCCTGTAAACAACATGGAGAGGGGGTAAAGACCGCACCACAAACAAGACACACACGGCAGAGACACCAGACACTGAAGTCATCATACACTGCGCACACAGTTCATTGACATGCCAAGCAAACGCCTGCCATGCAGCGGGAAGAATCACTAGCAGCCAGCGTGAAGAAGTGAGGAGGGGGTCAAAGTCGCAAAAGGCACAGTGAATAAACAGCCGAGTGCTTTTAAAAGACTCTTTAAAAGAGTTTTATCACATGACATTAAAAAGCACATGTCACACAGTATCTTTAATCTGTGTTGCTTTGAACTTTCCTCTGCTTTGAAATCAGCCAGAGACTTTTGGTGGGCTGCAGCATTTGAAAGGGACGAGGGGAAGTTGCTCAGTGATAAGGAGTGCATGCTTGCGTTGGGTTTTGAAGCTATGGCTGGATCTGTAAAACATGCACGACTGTAGATACGACAGTACCTGTGGCCACATCTACTTCATGCTGTGATATTAGAGCTTGTAGAGAGAAAAAAGACACAGAGAAACAACTGGAGAAGGTTCACAACGGGACGACCCCCCGCCATCTCTGCCACTGTAGGTAACAGTGACTGTAAGACATGTATGTGGGTCATGCCGCGTAATGTAAGAGATGATGAGGCTGAGGGTTTATAACAGCATGAGTCATCTTGTGTAACAATGCAACTGGATCACACTCAGGTCCCACTACACATGGATGAAGAGCTTATGTACTTCATGCTATGTAAAATGCTTAACATAAAAGATAGTGCTATGAAACTATGCATAATACTGCAAAACATACAATGTAGGATTTCACATGAACACAAAACACATGACGATGTTCTGTCTTCAAAGCAGGGCTGTTGCTAACAAACATTGTAAAAATGGATTGTCTTGAGTATTCAGTTAATTGATTAACTTTTTAGTCTGTAAAATGTCAGAAAATATTAAGAATATCTTGATCATGATTTTCCACAGATGGGGCATCTTGTAATTGCTTGTAATGTCCGACCAGCAGCCACAAGCTAGAAAAATATTCAATTGATTATGATGTGAAACTTAAAAAAACAGCATATTTAACATTGGAGAATCTGGAACTAGCAAGTGTTTGCCATTTCTGTATAAATAAATCACTTTAACAAGTATTTGAGTCAATGCTGTGAACTAATCAATACATTAATCCACTTAATGAGTGTTTCTGTAATCTGGATGAGGTTGATTCTTGTTCTGTATAAAGTTCATAGAAGTAATGAAGATCAATTGTACATCAAATAAAAACAAAAAATGACAAAGGAAAATTACAATCATCTTTTTCATGTTTCCTCAGATGAAGGCAAGATAATCAAAAACATTTGAAGAATAGTAAAGTGTACTGAAGAGTTGGCAATACATTTGCATGGACTCAATACTTAATACTATTCTGTAGAAAAAAAGCTGTGTTCAAATCCTCTTACCTGAGCAATAGAAACAATTCATATTAATCAGCTTTCGAGTTGAGGAGACATGATTGTTATTCAGATCATTTCATTGTTGCTGTCTGCATTTGCTGACTTACCTTCATCCATGATGGTGACAGCTTCCTGAGAAATGGCCGGGCCTGCTCCACTGACTGTTATCGCATTCAAATAAAACTTGTAGCGCGTGCTGTACTTGAGGCTGAACACAGTGACTGAGGTCTCATTGGCGGGCAGCGCCAGCTCTTCCAACGGGCCCAGCTCATTGGAGTCATTGACTACAGGGTGGAGGATGAATGGGAAGAATAATGGGATGGAGATTGAAGTTTGGAAGTATTGAGGTAAGTTGAATAGAGGTGTGAGGAGGAGGGGGCGAAGATGAAGTTGGATGAAGGCCAATGATGAGAAAAGGTGGAAATGAAACGTTTGGGGCACAGAGGTGAAGGGTTTAGGAACAGAAGGCGGGAGTGACAAAAGTTGATTTGTTAATTTGTGTCGTTATTTAGGTACAATAACTTAAAATGCTCTACGGTCTATTTTATTTTGTACTACTTTTTTGTATCTGTCTGAACAGGATGACACTACAGTACATGACATGACAAAGAAGAACATACAAAACTACACACTACATGAAAGAAGGTGACATTTGCTTTGAAGATATACTGTAAGTTCAGCTGTTTTCTTAAGCCTCACCTGGCTGATATTTGAGGGTGTAGCCGGTGATGTGTCCATTACGGTCGTGAGGAGGACTCCACTCAAGGGTCAGAGAGTCCAGGTTGGGGTTTGTCACCAACAGGGAAGTAGGAGGCCCTGGCACTGCAGAAGACACAGAAACATGAACATTGAAAGTGAAACACGTGTCCCTCTCCACTACAAGATGTTATGATTGTTTTGTACCTTTACTGTGCTGGATGACTGTATGTGCATGGTTTAATAAGTTTATAGAGGAACATTTCTCAGTGCTCAACTAAGAGTGTTAAGTGTGTATGAGCACTATTTCTCATAATCAAAAACTAGTTTGCTGTGAAGATTTGAAACCTCCAGGGCTCACATGCTAAGAATTGACTTCTCAGTAAAGTAAAATAAATGTTTGCGTATTGTAAGTAAACAAGAACATATTTGCATATTCACATATTCTGGAGGGAGATGGAGAAGATGTGAATTCAAGAATTTTAACTATGTTACTGATTTTTCTGTGTGTGGAAAATGAGTTGCAAAACACAAAATATTATTCCACGGAGAGTATTTTGATATGCATTTAAATAAAAAGATTGTATCTGTGTCAATAACGGACTATCAACTGCAGTTAGAAAGAAAGATTTCTCCTACCTCCTTCAGGCGTCTCAAACTGCTGGGTGGGGCTGGGCGGACCCTCTCCCTTGCCGTTATAAAGCCTGACATTGAATGAGTAGAGGCTGAAGGGGTGGAGGCCGGGCAGCATGCCGTGGGTGTGGTTCCCGCTGAAGGTCAAGATCTGCTTCTCCGCATGATGGGGGTTGTGCTTGTGGAGGCTGCGATCTCTCCAGTAGTACACCTACAGGACACAGGTAGCATACAGTGAGTGTTGAGTGTGTGTTTGATTACATGTTACACTGCATGTGGTCTTCTGTACTGTACCCTGTATCCTTTGAGATGTCCTCGTATTGACCTGGCGGGCACAGGTTCCCAGTGCACCTTAGCCAGAGTGCTGTTCAGCAGCATGGCCTGCACATTTTCTGGAGCTGCCACTGGCACTGCACATAACAAGCAACACAACGACAGGTAAATACAAAGGAAACATACTAAGTACATGTTAAAGGTTACTCCGGTGTCTTGCACTTTTTTTTTAAGGGTGGAAAGAATGGATCTAACTCACAGTCCTCTCCAGAGAAGCCTATGGCTGTCTGCGGCTCAGCTGCAGCTCCCTGTTCGTTCACTGCCTGAACTCTTAGCTCGTAAGGAACAAATGTGGGCGTTCCAGACACAACAAACTTGGAGTTGTTGGCCACGGTCACTGTGGTCCAATCACTGTCCATCAGCTTCTGCCTCCACATCACTCTGTAGTGAAGCCCCGGACCATTAGACTGCAGGCCTGTCAGCGGCTGCAGAGAAAGAGAAATGTTAACTTATTTTCCAACACTTAAACAATAACTAATACAATACTTTTCTAGAAAAAGACAGACTGGTAAATATGGTGGACTTTTGGTGGTTGATAACAAAGAGAGAATACTAAGAAAGCAATTGAAAGCTCATTAAGGTAAGAAAATAACAAGTGTTTCATGGTACAATGACATATAATTAGGTTATGAATTAGGTTGTAAACACTTTATTAATCATTAAGAACCATTTATAAACCAGTTCTAACATAGTTTTAACACATCAACACAGGCTCACTATTTGGCAAGATTACTAAGCCTTATATTGGCTACTTAGCGAGAATCAACTCGGTGAACAACAGATACCAAGGATGCTGGCTGATGAAGAAGACGAAGTAAGCTAGGTAGCCAATATAAAGCTCAACAGTACAGATAAATGAGGGCTCACTATTTGGCAAGCAACCGGTCACAGTTGCCCTGTTTATCTCATGTCTTATAAAAGCTTATTAATGATTTATAAAGTGTTCACAACCTAATTAATAAATGAATTACAAACTATTCATAGACCCTTTACTGTATAAGGGTAGTCTTATTGTAAAGTGGTGGTACCTCATGGTAGTGTTTTAGTG